GAAAGAGTGAAGAGAGAAAACTGTGCAAAGCTGAAAGAGGGCACTCTTCAAATAAAACACTACTAGAGAATTATGGGCTTTAGGTCTGAGGTGGATTGACCTCAAGGAGGAAGGGGCTCAAGGGGAAAGCCTGGTGTTTGGGGTCAGGCGTCAGGGCACTGAAACGCAGGCTGTTTCTGACCTCAGCTTCCCTTGTGTGCCTCATCTGTATAATGGAGCTGAATGGAGTTTACCCTAAGGTTCAGGAAGGACGTGTGAAGGAGTTGCCATGTGGAGGCTCAGATCCTCTCCATCTCACTTCTGAACTGGGACTTAGAACCGCAGGGATTCAAGGGAGCTCTGGGCAGCTTTCCCCAAGCGTGTGTCCTGAGGAACACTTGTCCTCAAAGATGCACTCAGACAATCTGTGTGGTTCAGTGGATTTTCTAAACACAGCATGCCGTGTCCCTCTCTGTACCCTTACCCCGGGGATGCTCTGGGTGCCCAAGAGCACAAAGAAAGCCCCGAGGAATCCACACGAGGGACAACTGTTGATTTAACTTGCATCTCCCCAAATTACTCGAGCACCAGAAATGTGTGCCTCCCAGGTACTAACGTGGCATGACCATGACACATGTTCCGGGGGATTTCCCTTGTTTATAGGGCACCTGGTGGCTTTAGGGTGAGTTCAAAGGTCATGGAGGGCCTGTGCACGGGGCCGGTGGGGCGTGACTCAGGTAGGAGAGGGATGGTCCAAGGGTCTCAGTGGCCGGAGGGATCCTCCCAGCCCCGTGCACGTTCCAGGTATGATGCTAAGCTCCAGGGGTTTGGAGATACGACGCCCACCAGGTAGCTCAAATGGTCAAGTTTTGGCTGAGTGTGAAAATGAAACTTAAAGAGATAAACGTAAACTTGAACATTTGTGTGCAAAAATGTGAAATCTTCAAGTATGACCAACAGTTTCTGTGCAAAAGTACTGGAAGAAGAGAAAGGGTTGTTGACGTTTATGTCAAAATATGTCCTTAAAATAAGATCCTGCACTGAGAGCCAATCCCATTTCCATTTCGTCAACCTATGTTTCTGGTGGCCTGGGAGATGCCCCGTGGACCAGAAGCTAAAATGTATGACATTTTAAGCTAAAATGAAGCCCATCAAGGCCATCGTGGTCTCCCCTATACTCGCAGCATCCGATAACATAGAATGTTTATGGTGTTTCACTTCTGACAAAGCAGTGCCAGTGTGACAGCTCGCAGCACTGGAGGGGATCTTCTTGTTCCGAAGTCTGGGGGGACTTGAGGCTCAAAGACGTGGGGTGCTGTGGTTCCCCCCTCAAAGTAACACGCCCCAGGGATCAGGAAGGTGGAATGTCTGTTTT